CCAAATCTTTGGCGGAAAATGTAAGGCGGGGCCTCTCATATGACGCCTGCACACTTGCTAGCCTGTTCCATTCTTGGTTCTCCGAATGCCAGGAAGGATTCTTGCCTAGCCTCTGATGGACCTGACTCGTAAGAAAAGGAAGCGTCCTCGACATTGAGAAACACCCTATGTTGACCCAACCTGAGGCTATAAATCTGACAGACATTAATGTAAGTGACATCTCCGCCCACCCAGTTTATTGTCTTTTGACCATGTCATAAAAATAACTGACAGCAGGACTGAGAATGTAACCCCTGATCTCATGGTTAAAGCTTCAAGACAGCGGGGCCACGCGGCAGACATGTAAAGAATTGCCGTGAGTCAGATTATCCTTGCTCAGAATGCCTCCATGAGTAAACATATTTGCATAAGTGGCTGAGCGACATGAATTATGGCTCCTCTTCCTCGGCATTTACCAGCTGCCTTCTGCCAGTTCAATTGGGAGTGATATATGTGTGAAGATCAGGTGGCTGGAAAGAGGAAGGGAGGGGTGAGAGGGTGTAAGGGGGGGTAAAAGGCCACAACTAGATCCCAAGTGCTGGGGCTGCACCCCCCGTAGGCCCACCAGCGCCTGCCTGACTACAGCTGGGGACCAAGACAACACACACTCACGCTTGACCTTGAAATAACACAGAGACGGCATGTGTGCATTCTCTCCTGATGACTGACATGACGGCAAAATGTGATGAATTAGTGAGGTTGTCAGTAATGCATGGATTAGACTGTGAAAACATGAAGGAAATATATTCAAAACATCATAGTATCACAGTGTTTCCCACAGATATGAAATATACTTGTGGTGGTAGCGGGGGGAGGGGGAAGGGGGGCTGGCTGGCTTTGTGACGTGCAACAACATTAACATTAACCTTTCTGTTGGTCGCTTGTTAGCAGACCCTTCACGCGATAGCAGAGCGAACAGGTACAGGAGGTGTAGAGCGAGGGATCATTGTCCACTAGTTAATCGATCGCAGATGGCGTCGTGCTCACGGACGGATACAAAAAAAAAAACGAAATGGGTCGCAAAGTATACTTTGGCGGCCGTTAATATACCTGGGCGGCCCGCCCAGGTAAAGTCTATGTGTGGGAAACCCTGGTATCATTATACCGCTGCCACTGAGCACCTTTTTATTGCAACAAAAAAGAAAAAACAGTGCATACAACGAGCATTACACGTCGGTGCCTCAAACTATGTAATTCAAAAGATATATTTTTTGCAATAATTCTACTATTCCATGCAGAATTAGCTTTGTTTTGTGCTTATCTTTGGGGAAACCAGCGTAATTATTGTAAAGGTCAGCTGGAGAGTAATGAAATCATCCTCTACAATGTTCACTCTGCAAATCCACTTCCATGCCCCCTGATATCTACCTCCGGTGCTGTGCTGGTGATTACAGTCAATTAGAGGTGTGCTTGTGAATTTCGTTAGTGTTTGGATGAAAAGGAGAAAGCTGTCAGTCAAAAGGCCACTCTGGCTTTGTATCTGGGGGCTGCAAGGGGCTCTAAACCTGTATTTGTATGAATAAAAATGAAGGGATTTAGCAGCAGACTGTTTCTTCTGCAGACTTGTCAAAAATCTGACCTTCGCTGCAGCAGAGGGAGGTGATGGGAGGAAAGAATTGAAGATTTAAGAAGCTGAGTGACTTCTGGATAAAAGAAGTCCAACTGAAAAAAGATAGAGGGAAAAATATGTATGTCAGATTGAGAGGCGGTTCTCCGGTCTTTCTAACTCTCTGAGGTATAGTCCCGCAATAAAATAAATTCATAGAATTATTCAACAAGAGATTGAGAGAGATTTGTCTGTGCGATGAAAATGGTATACAGGAGAGACCCCCTGCCAGTGTCAGGTGGGAGGGAAATACTACAGCTGCAGATCAATACAATGTTCCAGAACATTTAATACAATAATACTTTCACTATTTCTGTTTTCTTTGTTAGTTGATAATCAAAGTTCAAGCTTATATGCAATAACAAAATATAAAAGCCAGTTTGTCCTACATCAGTTGCTTGTTTTTTATTCCAGTTTAGACCCTGTTATACACAATCCAGATGGCCTATTCATGTCATCTAAAAAGCTACTGCTCACAAACTAGCACGGGTGAAGTCAAATCACACCTGAAGGATACTTAAAGGTAGGGTAGGTAAGTTTGAGAAACCGGCTCGAGATCGCTAGAATTTGAAAATACACAACCGGAGAAAATCTGCCACTTCCTTACAGAGCCTCCCAACACACACGAACGCGAACATGACCAATGAGGGCACGAGATAAGTTTGTGCACAGATGGAAGGCTGACAGGCAGGTAGGCCATCCAGTTATTTTAGCCGGGCCGGCTAAAATGATTGGTCGTGCTTTTTACAGTGCTACAGCTTCCACAGATGATATTTTTTTATGGATTTTTTGTCAAAGCACTTAAGATATTCATTGCTATCGGGTTGTTAAGAGCATTCCATGGAATATAACAAAAAGTGTATCTCGAGCCGGTTTCTCAAACTTACCTACCCAACCTTTAAGGTTAAACAATAAATGAACATATTCAAAATAATAAAAACACTAATATTAAGTTGTGCACAATATATAGCAACAACGTATTTAAGGAACAAGGCATACGAGTCATTATTACTCAAAGTTTAAAGCTATCTACTATTTTACTATTTAAGCGTAAACCAAAGAACCTTGTGGGACCTTTTCTAAGCCAGTACATATTTAAAGACAGATGCTGGCCACAAAGCTGTGGAAAGCACTCAATGATATGGGTCTAATGAGGTTAGGGATGGGGCATTAGATATCAAGCTCAACCCAAACCATCCCATTTAAATCAGAGGAAAGTCCCCTGCTTCCTGGGACTGATTTGCCTGGATGACTGAGCAAGGTGGAGCTGAAGCATCACAACACATGGTCCATCGTTGGCCCGTCTGCGTCAACTGTGCTCTCATTGTTCAGGAGCGGGGAGACGACCTTACATTCTCCAGGAGCAGAAGGAAACTTTTTTTTCCTGCTTTAAGAAAAGTGAGACAAGACTTCCTTTCCCAGAACAATTTATCTCTCTGCTTGACAAGACTCCCTGCTATATTTACCCAACTAAAATTGCAGATGATATACTTCCAGCTGCACTGCTCTCCAGCTCTTTGGCACATGGTCCTGTCAATCACATTAGTTACAACAGAACAGGACCACAAGGGCAGTGAGACCCTCAGCCAGACGGAGAGAGGGACTGAGAAATATGGAAAGAAAGGAAATTAGAGAAGAAAGACAGAGGGGCTGAGAAACCTTGTGGGGACTAATTCATATTGCCTTCGCTGGTTGGTGTTAGTTGTTAGAAGGAGCGGAGTTACACACCAGAGTGAATGGAATTACTGGGCTTTTATTAAGCAGACAGCTGGGTTGCTGCGAAGCCTCAAAGCAGCAACAAAACACAGCCCACCCACAAGACTTCCTGCCAAAATATTGCTGTGTTTCTTTACGAGATCTATTAGGTTGGTATGCTGCTGCAAAAACAAAACAAATTGATCAGTCTGTCAGGCACAGAATTGAGCCCTACTGTGGTTATTTGATCTCCATTTTGTCTCTCATCAGGGCAGGGATGTAACATTTCAGAGACTGGGGGCACAGGGGATTTGGGCTTAAGGATGCAACAAAGGCTTTCAAACCTCCTTGACATGGATTCATTACTTCATGCAAATGCCCTAAAAAAGCTGAAAATAATTCAGTATTTTTTATTCGACTTCCATTCTATTCAAATACAATACAGTACAGTGTAAGAGAATGGGTTTAAGTGAGGGGAACAGAGGAGCACAGGCTTGTGGTGATTTAAGGGCTGTGGGGAAAGGGTTAAAGAGGGAGGAAAAAGAAAAAGAAAAGAGGTGGGTAGATTCCTCCTCAGCCAGCAGTGCCTGTCCATCTCACAGCAGCACTGGCATTCCCTGGAGGAAGGCAGCAGCAGGGGGAGTGGGGGGGGGGCTCACACTGTGCAGCTTCATGTTTTGCATCTCTGCCATTGCTCACAACTTCTACAACTTGAGCTGCAGGGCTGTGGGAGCTGCCAGAGCTCTCATTGCAAAGGCATGACAACATGCAGGACTGTCCTCAGGCCAGCTTGGCTCTCTCATAAGAAGGGGTGCTGTCAGACACCACCACTGCATTTACACACTCAGGGACTCGCAAATGATCAGGCACCACACTGAGTGTTAGTGTGACTAGACTGGAGAAGGTCTAGGATTATTAGATTACATTGCATTTAGCTGACGCTTTTGTCCAGAGCCAATAAACAATAAATTGATCAATCTCAACCCCTGATTAAAAGCTTAAAGGTAGGGTAGGTAATTCACTTCAGAAACACTTTTTGTTATATTCCATGGAATGCTCTCAACATCCCGAGAGCAAGGAATACATTAAATGCTTTGACAATAAATATATACAAATATTTAATCTGTGGAAGCCGTAGCGCTGTAAAAAGCAAGTCCAGTTATCTGCCTCGGCCCGGCTAAAATAACTGGATGGCCTACCTGCCTGTCAGCCTTCCATCTGTGCACAAACTTATCTCGTGCCCTCATTGGTCATGTGCGCGTTCGTGTGTGTTGGAGGAGGGGCTCTGTAAGGAAGTCTGAAGGAAGAGGCAGATTTTTTTCGGTTGTGTACTTTCAAATTCTAGCGCACTCGAGCTGGTTTCTCCATTCTTACCTACCCTACCTTTAAGTATTTTATCACTGCAAACCTGATGGACAAAGAGAGAAAGGGGCCCAATGCACGTGCTGTTGGCCCCACCAATACGATCAGCTCCAGTGCTGAATTCATGGCTTTTCCTGAACCAGACCAGACCCTGGTACCACTCTCATTTCAGCCACCCAGTGTTATTCATATTTCAGTTGACATGGTACGAGAGCCTCATTTCATGTCAACATGAGGTCAAACAGCTTGTGAAACCTGAACTAATCCCATCACCGTACACCCTATCAGCCCCACGTACCTTTAATGTAGTTGAGGGTTTCTTTCAGGTGGGCAAAGCTGTTAAGTAGAGGGTCCTGCTCTTCATCCTGGGCAGAGAAAAACATGATGAGAGCACTAAGAGAGCAGGGTAGGACATCTTAAACACCATTTGACATTCAAAGTAGTTCAATCAAATATAATATAATATTCAGTTTCAGGGTCTATTACATTGAATGTGTGCTATAAAACCAACAACTCTAGTAACAGCAATTATTTAGAATATTAAGTTGTGACTTTTTAATTACAGCAGCATGTCAAAAGTATATGGATCTGCATGGAGAAAAAGATTATCTCTAAATAAGCCAAATCTTGGTACTGCTCAAATGTCCTGCTGTACAATTAAACGTAATATTACTCTTAATGTTATGTTGTCATTACAACAAATGTGATGGCACACATTTTATAGCTTTATCAAAGGTTTGTGTTTGGTTGCTTTCACTTTATCTTAAGGCTCTTAAAAGAGGCGTTGGTTAATACAGGGTATATGCAGGAATCCTGAAGTCAAATGTAATGCCTTTTAAGACCTTTTCTAAGACCCTTTCCATACATTTTAAGACCTCATCGTCACTTCGAGTTTTAACCGGTTACATTGGCGACACACTTTACCTCACATTTACTATATACAGTATTGATTGTCCTTCCTCCTTATCTTCCAACCATTTGGACGCAAACTTGCATTTCCCCATAACGATGTTGTTTAACAACCGGCGTAAACGGACCTTCGCGCGCTATCAAGCAGTGAGCGTGCGATGTCCTGTTCAGATGACGTCCAATCCAACGGGATGCCATAAATAAACTACACACCTACGCAATGATTACATTCAGGCAAACTGTAGAATACAACCTCTTTGGACAATTGATATACTTATTGGAAACAAGCTACAAAATGTAATACCTTGGAAAATGCTGTTTAATACTTTTCGCTAAATTGATTTATCAACTTTTAATACTTTTTAAGACCCCGCGGACACCCTGTAATAGGTCATAAGGCCCCTATAAATCCTATATGCTTAGAAGTCATCCAGAATGTGCCACTGAAAAGAGCTTGGCTTAATGTGGAGTGTCTTTGTAGCCGAGTGGTCACAGCCATGTTACCTCGCTGCAAGGGCCCGGGTTCCAAAAAGCCTTAGGAACTTGAGCTACATATTTTAGATTCTTTTTTTCCTTTTTTTTTTAAAGAAGCATTATTTAAATTGAGTAAATTCATTGTAAAAAGTATTAATAACACATCTGTCTCACTTCAGATCAAGTATCTGAAAAATCATCCCTATAGTTTCTAAAACAGGGACCCAAATGCATGCTGGTCCTTCTACACTAGCAGGCAAAAGAAGTAAAGATGAGAGCTTATTCAGACGTTTTGTGGACTCTTTAGCCACTCCTGAGATTATCATTGGGAAAACAGTTCATTTCAAAATGAAGCTTTCATCACAATATCAGAGTTATGATGAGCAGAGAAAGAATTAGTGGCAAGAAAAAGTTCTACCCTCAAGGGGGGATATGTTCAAATGCTCCGCCACCATAAGCCCAACAACCAAAATACAGTATGTCTGGATATGGGTTTGAGAGGCAGAGCATCATAAAACAAACTTCAAATCAAAAAGGAAATGTACCAAAATCATTGTTTTCCTCACTGATCCAACAGTCACAAACGTTGGTTAGATGGGGAATCCTACAGACTCCAAAGTGTTGGCTCTCTTTCTGCCCACTGAGCAGCCCCTCTGTCGTTGTTTGGAAGCAGTTTATTCAAATGTTTTGTCAAATCACAAAACCTTATACCATTTAGTCCATTTGTATATCTTTATTAGAGCTAGTCTTTATTCAAATACAGTATAGTACAAATATAATTGTTGTGATTAACTCACCAGTGGAGTGTGGGTATTCCACCTGGAGTTCCTCTTGATAGCTCCAACAACGGTACTAATCTCACCCTGGACGATGTAGATGTTCTTGTCCACCATGCTGCTTTCTGAGAGACAAACGGAGAAGGAGAAGGTTAGTTTGGCCCATACTGATATATCATCAATTGTATTGTATACAATACAAGCTATGCGTTGCTATGTATGTATGTATACATGTATGTATGTATGTATGTATTTTATTCAAATATTTCATCAAATAACCCCTGTTTCTCAAATCTTTCATTTGAAATGTGTCTTCCTTCTACTATTTAAAAAGGTTTCAGTCAGCCTGATGAACACTTCTCAGCTCTTCAGGATACATTGTACATTATACAGTGACTTCAGTGTCAGTGAGACATCACTGATATCTGTTGTGAATTTGAGACAAAAAAACAACAAACCGCTTAACATATTGTTAACACATTGTTATCTATTATGTTGTGACATTATCAGAAAATGAACTTCTATAGTATATACTTCTATGTCTATACAAAAGAAACAGAATTTACATGAGATATAGGAATAAACGGCCTACTATAAATAATGAAATTGATACCACCTCGACATTAATTACATCTGTCTGATTGTGGTTCTCATGGCAAACATTTTGTCATGAGATTCATGTATTTCAAGTTGGATATGCAATCATTTAGACAATATTAAATTATGAAATTCTGCAAGAAGTATATAATAGATTAGACTGTAAGCTTATATTTCAACTCAAAACCTTTACCCTAAAATGAATATACATTCTGAGAAGCAAACAGCACATTTCCATGTGTACATTGGGAATGCCTTAAACCAATATGGATAACCAAACAAAATCAGAATGACATACTGTTCATATTTGACAAGCAGTATACCACAAAGTGGTTGGATTAACCTTTTTCCCTGTGTCATGAAAGCCATGGCATATAATACTCTTACATTACAGGAAGAGTTATGAATGTATGGACTAGGTGACAGAGGCCACATTCTTTAAATTCAAGGTAAGCACCCTATTCAATAAGATAAGACGATTAAAATATGGAAGGTAGAGGCCGGGATGTAGAGGCATAGGGATAGGCGTACAGCTGATAAGACTGTCATATATGAGGCTCCACTAGCGAATAGGATTTTCAAACCAACTATTCTTATTTGAATCAGTGGGGTTAAGTCCGGGTCTGATATTGTATTTCCCAAGAAACTGCACAGTGCAGGGACAGTAAACAGTCAACTTGGTGGAAACAGATTAGTTCAGGAAAAACCTGCAACACAGTTTACCTTTAATCATTGGAAAATGTTTTAACAATAGTCTCTCTTTCCTTCATATTAGTAATAAATGCTCTATTTTTATTTAGCCGGCAAGTAAAAGTCACTGCATAGTGTCTCACATCAGCTGCTTATTGGAGCAGGAAGCAATGTACAGTACAGACCATTGTTTCATAAGACTGGGTACCAGACAGGAAAACAAATGCTTCCAATCAACACTTTCAACTCATCAAAGTAGATAAAGCCATCTGAAACGTTGACAGGTCTCCCTTTCACTCCATGTGAATGGAAGCTCAGGGGCCAGAGGGACTCTATGCTTTTCATAATGGTTCTAGATAATCTAGATTAAAAGCGTTTATGGAACAGTTTATTTTTGCCAGGTGATGGTGTTAACACATTCTCTGCATGAAAAGAGCTTTTCTAGAGACAGACTTGCAAAGAAGCACATGGACCACTGAACTTTTTGGAGAAAATGTAAGACTCCCTCCCTTGCTCTGATATCAATGCTAACAATCAGCTGGGTGGATGGACATCTCTGCCTGTCACTCCCAACACATAAGTAACATAATGCAGTCATAGAATAAAAGCTACTGATACAAGTCAGCTTGTTGTCTCTTAGGTAAGAAGGTGCTAGCAGGCTAATTAGGTTACCTAGCTACAGTATGTCAGTGGCATATATTCAGAGGCGAAACTATCAAGCTAGCTCTTCACCATACCATGGTATTGAAAACCTGTTGACAGACCTCTGGGACAAACACAAACACAATAAAAGGACAAGTGACTACTATTAAGTTAATATAAATCGACCTACTAGTTTTAAAAATAGTTTCATATATTTCCTACCCAGAAAGACCACAGCTAACTACTTAGCTACGTGTTCATTTGCTAAGGAGAGGTGTCTTCCGTGTATGTCCTCTCGGACAACAGTAATCTTTTCATGACATAATATCAAAACGCCTGTTGAAAGATATATATACGTACGCGTCTGTGGTTGTTAAGAAATAATGAGGTTACCTGTGTGTGGCTGCTATTTCAGAGATGGAGTCCTGCTGTAGCTTATGCTAGCCTAGCTCGGCAAGCTAGCAGGCTAGCCGGCCAACAGTGAATGAAGAAGACCAAAGTTCAGTTCAGCACGACAACAGGAAAAACTAATGTTTTCGGACATTCCACTGCGTGATACCGTAATAATTCCAAACACCACGTATTCATTCACTCTTCAAAATAATGCTCCATAAGTGAATAAAGTGAACACCTTCCTGCAGCTGTCAATCTGGCCTTGGTAAACACACTGACGTGGAAAAGCTCCGCAGTCTCAACCTAGCCTGATGACGAGTTATGATTGACAGGCTACTAAACTCTTCACTTTAACCGTAATATTACGCTTTACAGTTCAAGAAACATCAGATAAGAGTTTCAGATTTGGTAAATGTTTTGTTTTTGTTTTTTTCTAACTAGATAGACAAGATACTGATTCCACAAAAGGAAATATCACTTGTGGTGCAGAGAAATAAAGGCGGGACAAAGGCAGCAGTACAGAAGTAAGTTTGGTTGCGCCGGGCTGATGACGAAAGCACGAGCTGCAGCTCCATGGCAGAGTCCAGCCTGGAGGCTGCTTTCTGTTCACTCTCTTTCTCAGGCTCAACTTCACTGAGACTGTGTAGAGGCTGCTTTCTGTTCACTCTCTTTCTCAGGCTCAACTTCACTCTCCAACCCACTCTCAGTGTGTCTCAGCTTCTTGCTCTGGCTCTCATTGTGGGGTTAATTACTCTGAAGAAGAATATTGTATTACTGATTTAGAGACATTTTTTCTCTCATGCTGATCTGTTAAACTTTGCCATGAATTATAAATAAGCATATGCTATAAAGCCTAGTTTTGCATGTGGAATTAGCAACAGAGCAAAAGCTAATGCCAACTGTAAGGTACAGCTTGAATGCTTACCAAGAGCCCCATGAAAAATAAAACATATATTTTTATGATGGACATAATTTACTATTTTATATATGATATTATATTATATTGTATCATATTATATAATATGTTAAATTATATTATAATATATTGTATTATTATATTTGTATATGTTATATTATATTGTGTATAGGAGCAAATTAACTCTGTTAAACTGTGTAAGTGTATACTTAGTTTTTACTGCATCTACAGTTTGCAAATGAAAATCAGATTGTGATGATTCAGTAACATAAACATATCTCTCAAGGTTGGTTTTAGACTGTTGGTCAAATAAAACCATCAACCATATGGCATTACCTTGAGTTTTAGAAAATGCTTATGAACATGTTTCACTATATTTAGATATTGTGCATATCAAATAATCAATTATAAAAAATAGGTTTGCAAATGTATTGATAATAAATAGATATGTTTTGGTTGCTGCCCAATTTGGTTTAGAGCTAACCATCCAACAAAGCATTTAACATGACTGGCATACATTGGATATAAACACTGTAGAAGTGAAAGATTGATGTCTTTGTTCACCTGAGTTTACAACCCGACATCACGTGACCCAAGTCATTTGGTCCAAGTCTCAAATGACTTGGGTCATGAACAACAGAATGGATGTTTCTGATGTTCATCCATTCTTTTGTTAAGGGTCATTGCTGCTTCACTAATGTGGTTTTCCCCAAATATATGATCAATGTTCAGTATTATGCTTATTCACAAGCTACAAAAACCATCTTGTGGGGTATAATTGTTTGCTGTTGAGGTTTTGTTTTTAGGATTCTTCATGGGAACATATGAAGGGTTGCTCTGTGTTTAAAGCTTGTAGAATCTAAGCATGTGTTTTCCACAGTAAGGAATATGTCTGCACCTCTGAGGCAATGAAAACGATTTGTATTGTTTGTCATGCACTTGTTGATACATTGCAATGTTCTCACAAATAGGAAATCAAACGTGCGGTGGAAGATTGATTTAATCCCCATTCCCTAAAGAACCAGCTTTAGTCATCCAAGAAACATTATCTTTTTGAGAACTCATCTGTTATCACTATGAAGTTGTGTTGCATATCCTCATCTGATCCACCATATCCTGATCCCATCCCCGTTCAGCTGCATATGAAACAGCTGGATTTCTCTTGATTACATTTTCTTCGTCCAAACAAAAAATATTTATGTGAGCTAGTGTCTTTGACGTGAGTCTGTTCATCATTAATTACAGCCATGAAATAAGAGTGGGGAGATTCTTTTATTTTTATCATTTCAATCTCATAGTTTACAAAAATGTCTGCTTAGTTTATAAGATCACTCGTGGGTTGGCTCCTCCTCCTCTGGCTGGCTTCATCAGCCTAAAGTCCACCTCAACCAGGGGGCTACTAGAGGTGCTGCTAGGGGAGACTGCACCATCCCATTGAAGTGCATTCTGCCAGGCTGTCTTTTCAATCCACGCATCCCATCAATGGAATTCAATACCACCATCTATAAGAGAATCCTCATCCTACTACACATTCAAGCACAGTGTTAAAAAGTGGCTCATTAATAATCAACAGTGTCAGCACTGATGTGTGGGTGTAGGTGTTAGTATGAGTGCGTATTGTGAATGTTTTATTTATTATCATGACTTGCTCTTATCTGTATTCAGTGATGTCATCTATTGTAAATATGTACATTTTATTTTATTTTATTTTTTGGTATAACAATGTTGTGGTATTTTTTATTATTGCTTTTAGATATTACCATCTGGCAAAGGGACTATCGGTGAAAACTAGCCTTTTGGCTAATTCGAGTACTTTTACATGTTTTTAATATGTTGATTAATGTACACTGTCCCTTGTTTTAAATAAATCAATTCAATTCAATTCTCTAAAGCTAAAACATCATAATGACACTTTGACAGCTCTGCGTCTCTCTCCAGGGGAGGGTGTGTGCTTGAGTAAATGATGCCAATGTCAGGTTGACTTTCTGCTTTGCCTTGTTGTGTAAAGTTTATAGTCTGTCCTGTTGCTAAGAGGAAAAATAATGAGAAATGTGGCTTTAACAAACATACATGCATAAACTCAGAGGATGTCAAATGCTTTGTATTGCAAAATGTCATATTTGGCAAGCATATTTTTGTTTGAAAGATGTGGAAGGGATAAATGGAGTCTTGTCTCATGATCCTCCCACATTGTCAGAGATATTTTTGCACATTGTTTGAGGCCTGAGTGCATATTCATGGGTATGAAAATGTGTGCATGACAGGATATAATAATATTAAAACTTATCATTAATCAATGATAGTGTTTCCCCCCTACTGAATTACCACTTACCACCATTTTTATTTGAATATATCCTCAATGTTAATGAACAAAGGAGCACAGGTCCCTCCTCTATAGTGACAATCCCATATCTGGTTTTTGCATTGCAAAATGTATCAAATGTATCCAAAACGAGGAGAGCCTGGAAGAGAGCTACGCTAACCCAGAATCCCTTGGAACACTCCTTCGGCCACACCAGGGTCAATTCCCGGATCTTGGTCCGTAGCTTATTTAAATCAAATAATGTATAAGAAATGGATGTACTCTCTCTGAGGTCACCATTTGGTTTCTGAGGAGCCGTTGGCAAGCTCAATATCGGGGGCTTCAGCCGTTGCCATTGACCACACTGCTAATCTTGCAGCTTATCCAAAGATGGGCAAAGAGGTGGATCAATGCTGGAACTGAGGCGGGCCCAAGTGATACAGCATAGCAGACAGCTAGCAGCTAGCTTCCTGTGAAGGCCCGTCTGTCACTCAAAGCAACCACGCTCTTAATGATGTATAACCTTAATCCTTGATATCAAATGGTGAGTTAAAAACTCCTACAACTGTCAGAAGAACTGTTTCTAAAACACAGCTTTATGTTTCCAAACTTACATTTATATAGCGATTACAATTTTACATTGCATCGTTATATATAATTAATGTTCGTATAAACAACTTTCATTTGATATATATTTGGTTTAAAATGTATTGCTGGCGGGGTTTGGGGAAACAAAGTAAAAAAATTGAAAATCAGAAATAAGAAAAGGTCACCTATCATGCAAAATGCACTTTTTGATGTCTTTTATACATAAATATGTGTCCCCGGTGTGTAAGGAGACTCTCAAAGTGTCAGAAAATACAACCCTCTCTCTTTTCCTCCGTACCCTAATCTCTAAAAACGGGGGAACAATGGAGCTGATCCAGATTTGTTGTGGTCATGACGACATTACTAAAATGTGGGCTGGCTTTACGTTAAACTCCTGGCAACGTCCCCCCCACGTCCCCACCTATCATCCCCATATACAGTCGCTAGCTGAATCCCCTCCCTCAGCTGTGTGGCTGTGTGTTCAGCCTGTGTCTACGAGAGGGACTTAGAGTAAAGTTGTTATAATACATATAATGGCACTGTTCTCGCTGTAAACACTGAATAAAGAACATGTCAAGCTATGTGCTGAATCAGAAACAATGTGAGACGTGTTCTGGAAGTAATATGTGTAACCGATGTGTAACTTGACGTGTTTATATTTCACCAAAATCATTTTTGTCCATATTTTCTTTGTAAAACTTGTCACTGTATTTTTATTTTCTAGGCCAGACCCAGAATCAGCACTTTAGTAACAGGGCTGAAATAGAGGGCTACGAGGCATGCTACAATGGGTGAGTTGTTTGGTATTTTGAGCAAAACACTTCAGATACATGTTTTTTATAGAAATGGCCCTATAATATATTGTTCAAATATAGCATAATAGGTGAGCTTTAAGGAATTAAAACAGTTTTTCAACTTTGCCACCGACACTTTAATTGTTCTTATCCCTCACACAGTTATACCACATCTCTTATTATTGAAGAGCTTGCATGCCTCTGATGACACTTCAACTGATACGTCCAGCTCAATTAATCATTACACTTCCTCTAATCAGCTCAAATTAATTTGTACACCTTAGAGGTTTGGAGCATTCAGAGCTTTACTAATCAGCAAACAACTACTTGCTATGTAAAGATATTTTGTGGTAACGTCTAGATGAGCAGAAATGAAGTCTGTCGCCCTGTGATTTGTTCATGTAGCCGTTCAGAGTAAGTCCCTGACTGTGGCTATGGTTGCTGCTCTGCACTGCGCCCTTACGGTGGTTACTGTTGAGGTCGTTGTTCTCAAAGCCCCTCAGGTTAATAATGCTAGCTCTTTTGCACTGATGCCACTGTTAGCTGCTCACACTCCCCATGTTGAGAGCCGTGCAGAGTCCCTCGATCATAGATATGCTCTGAGCTTTGACAGAGAATCTTCAAACTTCATTTCATTCTTTATCTCCTTTCAGCACTTTTAAACTTCCAAGATACTTTAATTTTACACATAAACATCTTTCAGTCATTTTTTGTCCGCCACTACAACTTTACCTGTTTTAACTGCTTCAAACGTGTTATCTCTAAATCTTCTGCAGCATTTGAACATTTTGTTCCGAATGTCGTGCCTTCTCTTCTTCCCTTTGCTCTATTTTAACATGCTTGTACATGTTTGTGTCATCATTGGCAATGAAGCTGTATCTTTGTGCTAAAACTAACTGTATGTCAACAAGTGTCAAAATGGTATCTGTTTCTCTGACAGACATCAATACATCTCCATAAATAACTGTCACCCCTTCACCACCCGGCTCACTCATGGTGTCCCCTAGGGTTCAGTTCTCGACCCCCCTACTATTCTTCCTGCACAACCTTCCCCTTGGACGAATCCTTCGCCAACATGGCATCGGTTTCAACAGCTTTAGCTCTCCTCCCAGACCATCACACCAACCACCCAGTCCACTCCCATTATCTTATGAATATTATATCATGTATGCAAAAAAACTTCCGTCAACTTCAACAAATCAGAAACACTGATCCTCGGCCCAAAATCCCTAATCCATTCTTTCCAGTCCTTCTCATTAACCATTAAGGGTCCAACGTCACCCCCTCTATCCAGGTCTGCAACCTTGGTATCATTCTCAACCCCCTACCTCTTGCCTCCAATGCAGACTAAAAACTTTTTCTACCTCAGAAACATTACCTGCCTCAAACCCTCTCTATCTTATTGGCTACAGAAACACTTATCCATGCCCTCATCCCTTCTAAACTCAATTCTGCAACAAAAAGACGTATAAAATAAAATACGTCCAGAAACCCACTACCCATCTGCTCAGCTCCTCCTCCCGTTTAACCCCTCCCCCCACCTCATCACTCTTTTGTCTCTGGTTGTACAGTTTGTTTGTTCTTTCATTGCCTTGCATATTGTGTTTTTGGGGCAGGCATTGGCCAAGTACAAGTCCCGATCGGACTAAAATAATACGGAGTGTTGACTGGTATCTGGAAAGAGGACAGTTCACCTCCTGGGCACTGCCGAGGTGCCCTTGAGCAAGGCCCCAAGCCCCTGGGCAAAATGCAGCCGGATAAACTGACAGCCTGTTTGCTCTGACATCTCTACATGTCATAAAAGGCATGTATTCAGAGGCAACTGAGTGAACACCTGAAGGTTCTTCTTCTTTTTATTTTGGAATGTTTGTTTGAACGTTTGTGTTCAATTAAACAGGAGGTAAAGTTTATTTCAGTATTTGTATTGTATTGTATTGTATTTGTATTTGTATTGTATTTATATATATATATATATATATATATATATATATATATATATATATATGTACTTTTTTTTAATTATCATTATTACCCTTTTTAGGTGTTTAACTTTTTTCCTAAAAAGTATAGCACTTGTAAGCTCCAGCAGGCAGGTATACAAAGCTGATCTTGTGGAGGCTGCAGGGAGGAAGAGATGGAGAGAGGAGTGTTTGTAGACACAGAGCCAATGGAAAAGGGAGGTGGGAGAGTGTGTGTGTGTGTGTTTGCACTTTGAGTGAATGCGTGCGTGAGTGAGAGAGAGAAAATAGAAAGAGGGAGAGAGAGAAAGAGAGAGAGAGAGAGTAGGGGCCGCCCTTTCTACAGTGGACCTGTCACGCATAATATTTAGCATGAAAAGTAACCACCCCCCCCCCCCCCACACACACTCCTCCTCCCTATACTCTGTTTAGGGATCAAGCCTCACTCCTCCACAGCCTTCAGGTCTGACAGCACACAGGGAAGAAGACAAGAAGAAGGAAAGTGTCCAAACTGACTCTCTGTTCCTCTGACTGTTTCTGAGCCCGACCGACGCACCGGGAAACTTTTTGTCCATGTCACCGGCCACCCTGAGGCCAGGACACCCATCAGCCTGCAGCCGAGCCCAAAGCCTTTTCCACGGATTAATTTAACCAAACCGGGATTTGATGTAAGTGTAAATCACCGCGTTTTGTTCTCTCTGTGTGTGTTCAGGATCCAGCCAGCTCTTTTTCATGTGTAAAAGTTTACTAAAGCTAGCCGAAATGTAAAGCAGGGCTTTATCAACTCTCTTCTACAATTTGCGGCTTTCTATACCAGCAGCGTTTACTACATCGTGTGCACGACACCAGAACTCTTTTAAAGCCTCTGGATATGGGTTTAAAGAATTATAAAAGGTAAAAAACCTGAACAGCAGTTTCCTAAAGTGTGCGTCCACGGAGCACATTATTATTGTTGATGAGAGGAGACACATGTAGCCTATCTCATTCTATTGCATCCTCCTTAATACAAAAGTATACAAGTTACAAAAACATTTACTTTTGGCTAATTCTAATATCTTAAACACGCTCTGTGTAAAGGCCCGTGTCAGACTCATTTTAGGCCACGAAGAACGCTTTGCTTTAATTTAACATTTGTACATTAGTGCTGTTTTTATCAGTTTTAAAAGTTCCCCCTCTGTGTGAGGAGATCTTAGCATTTAGGAAGTAGCAGCCTGTGGAGTTATGAATTATCATCTTCAGAGCATGTTGTGTTTCCTACAAAATCCGTAGACTCCACAGAGGCGGTCGTTATGAAAATATTTGAATATTTGGGAGGTCAAAAATATTTGGGGATGTAGAGGAAATTGATAGGTGGCAGGTGGCTGCCGGGGCAACAGGAGACCGCGGACAGAAAAACAAAGCCCCCCCCCCCACACACACACACACATGAGCGCCCGCCACAAACGAACTTATAATAACAAACACTCATACTATTTCATCCATATTGCAAACAGCATGACACGATCATTTCAGGGTTTTAAGATCTCAATATTTAAGAATGATTTTTTTATGGACAATGAATTTGTCAATAATAAAAAAATATATAATAATAATAATAATAATAATAATAATAATAATAATAATAATAATAATAATAATAATAATAATAATAATAATAATAATATCAATAATAATAATAATGAATATTATAATTATATATTATAACTTTGATAATTACAATACGAAACAAATTATATGGAAATGAAGGTCAAATTAGCTCTCATGGACGGATGTTTTCAAATGATGTATATTTCGGTCAATATTGATTTGATCAATTCTTTCTTTTTCGGCCAGATGGAAACAGATGGAAACCTGCAGCCTATTCGGCATTACTCGTTCAAAATAAATGCATGAATAAATAAATATAGGCCTACTGTCATTTAATCAAAAATAAATTAAATGAAGTTAAATAAATCAAAGCCTAGTGAGAACATTATATTCAACATCAGGACTTTTAAAAGGCCCAATGCTGTAAATTAAAAGGCTACGGTTTTGCACACATATTTAATTTCGCTATTTCAAGCCCGTACTGATAAAGGTATAGCGCTTTATTTATAAAAACAAATCAAAGTGGAGATGGATGTATTAAGATCCCCTGGTGGTGTGATGTCCTCCTGCAGGCCTCAGGTTGTAGCCTCAGCTCTTTGCATGTTCCCGGGTCATCGCATGTAAATAACATTTGTTTAATTGAACATCCGTTTGTCCTCGGGCTCAATGTATATCTGCAGCGCGTGCACAGGCCGGGCCGCGGGCCGCAGAGAGGCCCACCTGCACCACACTGTCCGTTATCAGATAAATACGTTTCATTTCAAATATTATGTAGGCTATCACTTTCAGGATCAACCTCATTGTTCTTAACAAGTGGTAATCTGCATGAGACCGTAACTTCATTATGTAATTAAATAACATATTCACAAAGCGTTTAAAATAGTTAAAACACCTTTAAAAAAAAGCTAAAATAAATACTATTCACATCAATGAAAATGTGCATTTGAAATGAAAGCGGTGGTCAGCATATTTAATTTATCTATGTTTAATTTAAAAGAAAAACGGAAACTTGCTTAACTCGCATTCTGAACATGTTATCGCCCATTTAACTTCACAGTGCATCCTTATCAACAATAACCATGTACTGTTATTTTAGCCTATGGTCTCACTTCGTTAATATAACTATTTTAATATATAGGCCACATTAGATACGTTGTTATAAAGAGTGAAATAAAATGATATGTTGTGGGTGTACAGGATAACGTGTGTGTGTGTGTTAGTCCTACTCGGCCTCTCTCTCTCAATCATATGCAAATGGCTGTTATAGGAGGGCAGAAATTAACATCTACAAACATTGGACCGAAATTCCATCTGCCGCCTCTTCGAGGAGGCCCTTAATAAGTTCTCAGACAGCAAAGTGACACACATCTTAATCAACTCTTAATCCCGGGAATTAATTCACCACGCGTTTATGAATAATTCCCGCGCTAATGCATGCAGTCCGTGGAAATGCAAGCAGTCTGCCGCGCGCACCGCCAGATGGACCGGCCAGACCCCGAAAATGAGAGGATTTTTACTTCCACTATTATTATTTTTTATTATTATCAGCAGATATATTTTAATGAGATCGCTGTCACCGGTTTATGCAAAACGCTCGTGCTTGTGCAAACTGGAGAGTCTCATAGCTGCTGATCATCTGAGAGCACGAGGCCTCAGCAGAGTTCACAGTGATTTCAGAGGAGCATGTCAGGTGGATGGAACAGTGCTCCAGGAAATAGGCCGAGCCTTCTGATGTCCAAGATCAAGATTCAGAGATTCAAAGGTCTTATCATCATATGCACAGTAGCTACATCTTAAATCGCAGGCTCTTTTAACAATGCAACATAAATATATATAAGCCATTAAGAAATACAAACAAAAAGAAAACAGAAAAATAAATAGTGCAAGAGAATGTTGCAAACTGACCAATGTGCAAGTAAATGTGTAATTAAACATGTGAAACAGACATGATGAGCTATACATAGAATGTAAAATGAAAGGTTCTGGAATAAAATACCGTTTGTTGTAAAAGTAAATACATGTGTGGAGAGAGGGTAAAATCTTCAGGTTTATTTGAGATTTTTATGAAATTCTCTCAGAGTCACTTCAGTGTGAGCCTCAGAGCTCCATCACTGTCAGCCTCTGCTTGTTAGCTCAGTGATACTGTAGTTTGTTGGCCATATTGAGATCAGGGAGGGGGGGCTCTTGATTTTGAAAATATAATCATGTGGCACCCCTGGTGCATGTGTAGGTGGTTGGAGAAAGGGGGGGGGGGGGGAGTACTGACACCTTGTTCTGGACAAAATGACCTGCCCCCCCCCCCACTCTGCCAAGCCTCTGAGCAGCACTGTCATCGGGCCGGGTGTCCATCCATCACAGCACATTTAGCCTTCGGACTGGATCACATTTATTATTCTGACCAAAATACTGGACCCTGCTCATCCTGGACCTGGGCCCTGCTCTCACAGGGGACAGCTGCTGCTCATCCTGGACCTGGGCCCTGCTCACCCTGGACCTGGGCCCTGCTCACCCTGGACCTGGGCCCTGCTCATCCTGGACCTGGGCCCTGCTCTCACAGGGGACAGCTGCTGCTCTTCAGGCGAGGCCAAACTGAACTGCAGCGGCCCCGGACACTGAGATTTTAAACGCACAAGAAAAGGCTCTACACACATCTACAGAAACAAAGACATGGTCTACTTGGGATATTTGAAGTGTTAAAAGTGAAATACGTCCTCTGTGACTCTCTGCTGTGTGCTGTTCTGCTTTTAACAAAGGGAAAGCTCTGATTTAGCTTCTTCCGCAGGATATTAAACAGTTTGGCCTTTGTTGAAATAAGTGGTAGGAATCCTCCAGCTCAGGTGATAGTATGATGGTTGGATTTGTTTGCCAGATCAGTGATTTGTCTGTATCTCATTAGATGTCAGCAGGTGTTGAACACGGCTCCATCAGATCAGGCTCGCTGAAATGTCACATCTCACATTTGACAAATCAACCAGGCAAAACTATCTGCAAAGCTAACATATGGACTTGAAATACGAGCTATTTTTCTGTTAACCTTTTAAAATCCCAAAACAGATGGATCATTTTCTGTTGAGTCATTTAACTAAACACAGAAAAAATAAACAATATTTGCTTGGTCATGAACAGGAGTAAGAATAATCCTTGTGACCCACAGGCCGATCAGAGGCTCATTAATCCAGATCCTCACAGAGTAATCCTCCTGCTGGGAGACTGACCTCACCCTCAGTCTCCCTCCTGCTTTCCCAGCGACGCTGTGGCCCCCGGCCTTCAGCAGAATACCCATTTTCCTGTCTCCTAATCTTTTGTGAAATGCTCCCATCATTCTCACGGATTCTAAACAGAAACAGATGCAGGTCTTTCTTTAATGTCTCTGGAAAATGTTACTTGTGTGAAGGGACAAATATGAAAGTGCATTGGGTGGCATTTTTAAGGGTTGATGCGTGCATGTCTGGCTGAAGTTGGACGGCAGATGTGTTTGATGGATGTTAGCTCACCTATCAGATGTCACAGATATTCAGCGGTAATAAGGTGCTAAACCTTTAATCAGAATATGCAGGTTGGCTTTGGTGGAGCATTATGTAGCTTGTCAGAGTGAGTGACGCAATGCTAAGTGAGGGTTAGGGATAGAACAATGATGACATGTGGGCCGGATTCAAATCATTGTATATAGCTCTGTGGGAACAAAAGGACAAATTAACTTATATTTGATCATCATAATGGAATACGCACTTAAAAAACTGAAACATTTGCTTTAATTAAATATATCATGTCAACAGATTAGGATAGGCAAAAATATAAAGTTTAAATAAAAAATATTAGGTTCAATTTAATAATATTGCTTTTAACCAACCTAAGTTATGTGAAATTTGTTGACATAATTACAATTAAAGTATACGTTTCAGTTTTCTTAGTGTTATTTAAAGAGTTCGTGCAATTTGCTTGCTCGTCTGAATTTCTTTTAAATACTGGATCTTTTATTTCCGTTCAAGATCTGTTCAACAATGACTATTTAACAGTTATGTTATCAAATGTGTCTGCGTTGGGTTTTATGATCCGTGTGTGTCTTCAGTGTTATCTCCGCGGTCATAAGGAATGTGTTTGGAATGGCCATTTATAATCTACAGTTCTTCATTTGAACAGATTAGGGGTTTGAAGAGTAATCTTTATGCTTTGTTGGCTGCATTTGTTAAAAGGAATATCATATTAAAAAGCGAGTATTGATCAGGGATACGGTGTCACTGACAGCCGGCCACTCTAACATCTGGCTGATATAAAGAAGTGATGTTCAAAGAGCGCAGGGGGAAATGATGTCATTTCGACTATTTCAAACAGTGACAGTGAGTCTGGTTGAAGAGTTCAACCCAGTTGTACTATGTATTGTTGGCTGTGGTTGTGTGGTGGTGGTGGGGGGGGGGGGTTGACTAGACACCATGCCATGCTCTGTACTCCGCCTCCCCCCAGCGAGGCTTCGGATTTAACCCCAGCAGAAGTCACATGTGACTGGCAGTGGCACACAAAGGACTGGCATGGTGGCAAACGGAGCGCAGGGAAACACGGAAGGGGAGTGGGGGGCTCATTCTGCACAGGCAAAGTGAGGTGAGGGGTAGGGGGGGGCACACGCCTCCCCCAGAATAGCTGGAATACACTGCTTCTAAGGCTTGTAACCACATTGGTGACCAGCAGGATGCTAAAGTGTCTGAGTCTCAGGAGGAGCTGATCACCTGTTCTGATCTTTGAAGACGCTGAGCCTGCTCTCTTCAGACAGCAGAAACACATCAGGAGGGAAACACTATTCAGATTCCTTTGAGTCAAAGTACCAATACCTCACTCTGAAAATAATCCATTTCAAGTAAAAGTACTGCCTCGAGGATGGTAATAAAGTAAAAGTATCTAAGTATGTTAAGGTAAATGTACTTCAAGTACCAGGAATAAAAGTACTCATTGCAGAATTACTCCAAAAATGTAAATATTTTAAAATATCTTATAGGTAAAAGTAGCAAATCTTCACATTTAAGGAGCTGGAAAGGTCAAATGTTTTTGATCAAAAACCTTTTAGCAAAATGCTGCCACTTCATTTTCAATAACCAACTCATGGTTTACTTACTTATTAATGTATTTACAATATTAATACTCGTTTCCTACATCTCATAGAGATTTCACATTTAGTCTTTAATGGGACTTTTCTTGCCCTGAATAACTTCTAAGTGTGATCACAGGGATAATAACTACATGACATGAGAACAATGGAGCAAAACTGTTTATTCCTCTTTTCTGATCAAACACATATAGTGTTAGACAAATATGATGTTTATTTGTTACTTTATTTATATCCATAAACCCTGTCCACATATTGAAGCTGTTAACTGCTCTGGGATGATTAAACGGCCAGTTGTTTCTGAGTAACAGGTCCACCTCGGTGGCTAGAATCTGACTTGGAAATGTCATCGTGTATTTTACAGCAATAACTCTGCTGCTCTCACCATGCAGCCCAGAATAGAGAGAGATCAGGGGCTGTTATAGCTGCTGATGTCAGCCTCAGATACTGGATCAGGATTACAACCACAGCAGGGTGAAGGGAAAGATCAAAGAGGAAAATAGAAACACACACACACACACACACACGTCTATAGTATAGTGATTTATATAAACTGATGTTTCCCTATTAAAGAGTCCATAAGACTGTGTGGTTTATTTTGGGGAGGTGTTTTTAACCCAAAGACACAAAAAGCACATGATGACACTGGGAATGTTTTTGAAGAAGAGTTGGTTGTATTTAATATATTTACTGAGAGGTGCTAGTGCTTCACATGAATCTGTTAAGAACAGTGGTGGAAGGAGTATTCAGATGATCTACTCAAAACATTCTCTTGCACTATTTCTATTTTTTATTTGTATTTACTTGCTGATCTCAAAACATTGTCTTGCACTATTTTATTTGTTTTATGTCCCAAAGATATATATATATATATATATATTCATGTTGCACTGAGCCTGAGCCATGACAATAAAGCCTTGAATATTGAATCTATTTAAGTACTACAGTGTAAAATACTCTGTTATAGTAAAAGTACTGCATTCAAGTGTGTAGCTAACTTAATTAGGCCTACAATATATTTCAAGTACAAAAAGTTAAAGTACTGGCTATGCAGAAAGGCACATTAAACAAAAATATATTTGTTGATGATTTTATTCAAATGATTGGTGCATCATGTGTTGGTGAAGGCAGGGTTTATTTGAATTACTTTATACACTGGGTTGATTAGCCTATAATAATGTATGATAATGTATGTGTCGATTTACATTTTGCATTAACCTAAATCTACAGAGTAACTACATGTATTGGATTAAAAATGAATTGAATTGAACATAGCCTACAATTAAATGTTTAACTTAAGTAGGCTACAGTACTTGAGTAAATGTACTTAGTGACATTACACTGCTGGTTAAGAATAATGTACAATCAATTTCGTATTTTTCTGTTGCCAAAATAACAGAATGTTGCAGAAATGATATATAAAACGGACTCTGTTAAAAACGAAACTCAATGAAAAGCATCCATTTAACCCTCCTGTCGTGCTACATTAAAAAGGTCACGTGTTCATGAAGTTGAATGAATGCATGGCCTCCTCTCTTAAGCCTGGTTGGAGGTTGAACCTGCTGAGGTGTACCTGATCGTGGATCAGCTGCACATCAGCTGTGTGTGATGGAAAGCGATCCGTGTTAGTGCAGCGTTATTAAAGTTATTTCAGAATATCACCGGAACAGAGACACACGACAACAACAACAACAGATCAGGGTCACACCGAACCTTCATTCAGCCTAGATCAATGCATACTGTAAGACTTTTCGGGAGCTATTACAACTGAAATATAATAGGAGACACAACACGAAGCCCGACTTTATAAAGTGGATATTTAATTTGGAGAGGAAAGCGACATCCTAATATAAGTAGGCCTAGGCGAATTATCAATTCAAATAAACGTGCTTATTTATGACAAAAACACAAGCTGTCCCGACACCAGCGGGACTTACATGAGGATGATGGAGATGTTGGTCAAAGAAGGCTTGCTCTCAACTGCCTTTCTGTGTGTGTGTGTGTGTGTGTGTGTGTGTGTGTGTGTGTGTGTGTGTGTGTGTGTGTGTGTGTGTGTGTGTGTGTGTGTGTGTGTGTGTGTGTGTGTGTGTGTGTGTGTGTGTGTGTGTGTTCAGAGCCTGCTGATGGATTTTAACCTGCTGACGGACAGCGAGGCCCGCAGCCCGGCTCTCTCCCTCTCTGACTCCGGGACCCCGCAGCACGAGGCGGGGTGTAAGGGCCAGGACACCAGCGGTGAGTAACCTGTGCAGAGTAATAATAATAATAATAATAATAATAATAATAATATAAATGTCATTATTGCTGTTATAATTAATCGGGAGGCTGTATTTCCTCGGAATAGCTTCATAAATGATGGATGCAGATTATGAAGACAAACAGCGGATGTCCTGCCCTCGTGTCTCTTATGCTGCAGGACATCCATTCCTGCAATCCACCGATTACTCATAATTTCAGCTCGAGCACACTTTAATCAGAGCCAATTGATAAAAAGAAAATATGTTATTATGCAGTGTTTATCTTGTAAAAGGCTTTGAGAGGAGTTAAATCTGATTGGATATCAGACACTGCAGTCCTAATGCTCTGATGGGTTTATAACTCACGTGAAAACTCAAATAAATATCTAAACAGCTAAAGCGTTTCTCCTGAGAGCAGCAGACACCTGCAGGAACTGGATTTGAGTCCGCACAATTCTAAATCTATGTTCAGTCATCTCCATCTGATCTCCTCCGGGATATTTGCATCATCTGTGCACTGCAGTGGCGGCGCCAGAGATTTTCTTTTTGGGGGTGCTGTGGGGTAGCTTGACGTTTCACAGAGGGTGCTCAAACATTTAGGGTTTTCCCTTAATGTACCGGGCGCTACAGTTGAATTTTCTACTGCTACACTCCCCACACACATACACATACTTGTTACAATGAAGGCTCGATAATCAGCTCACGGCATATAGGTGTAGTGTAGGCAGAGGTAAAGTGCTATTTCTATAAGTAGGGGGTGGACCTAATATCCTCTAGGTGGGTCCGGGCATGCTCCCCCAGGAAGATTTATTTTTAAAATATTGAAGTTAAAAGCATCAATCTGGTGCACTTTGAGAGCAACATGGAGAGATCTATGGATACATCTCTCAACACCCATATGAAACAACTGTAAGCAGATTTACTTTTTCTTTATGGATATTTTACAAATCACTCCCCTTTTAAACTTTATTCTTGTTTTAATGTCATATAGTATTTCCAACCCGGTATCGCGGCAAGACGTGAACATGTGACGATCTACCATGCTGGGAGACGTGAATATGTCACGGTTTCGTCCCTTCAAACGTGACAGTTACACGGTATTGTTAACATGGCCCAACCAGTGGAGAAATACCCGGAAGTGCCAAGCAAATGGTCTACCAAGACTATTGGTCGGTTTTTATTGTCAATATTAGATGTTTTTAATTTATTTTTTAATCGTTACACTTGATTTCGCCGATTTTCTTGTTGCCCCAGCTGGTCGACACCTCTTTTAGCAGAAACAAAGGCTACATTAATGTATTAAATCGATGTTAATCCATGTGTGTGGATCATAGACTGTATATATAAAGGTGTGGATGTGGAATTAACGGACGTGACGTTGTGCGATTGCGTTACCAGGCAACGCAATTTACAAACTCTTCAACTACAACCCTAATTATATTTAAAAACATTTTAGAAGGCCTCACGAAATACTTTAATGTAAATTCAAATGTAAATGTGAAGGGATGTGTGTAATGTGGTGATTGACATTATTCACCCACGGATCTATGGGTTGGGGGTATTGTTCCGCACGGACATTTTAGTTAACCGGACTTCCTGTTGATGTGAAATCCGAAAACATTTTTTAAAAATAAAATAATACTTTATTCCGAGTGTGCTTGCTTTTCTCTTTGAAAGTCATCACATAACGGCATTGTAATACACGGTTCGGTTGCATTAAATGTTACATATCTGCCGTAGTTGTCTATTTATAGAGCCCTGAGAAGACTTCTGGACAAACAGGAAGCACTGCCGCCAAAACTGAAAACGTGACATGGATCATAAATATATAAGCAATTAAACAACATCTTACATTTCTTTTCACACAATACGTCTCCTTGCAGTATCAATATTAATTCGGCTGACTTTTATATTTGATCCAATTGGTAGATAAGCTGTATTTACACCATAACGGTGCACAGCTGATAGAAAGGGACACCTAGTGGTTAAAGCACGTTATTGAATTTTATTATTTTATTATTTTTCACAAAAATGAAACCATCAATAGCAAAAACAGAATTAACTGTCATTAGTAAACCACTCAAATAAAAAGATCATAAGTGGTTTTGTTTTACATATATTTTAAGGATAATAATAGCAATGTAACACTGTCTATGACACTTACTGTATAACACTGATTTGAAAAACATACAGAAAAAACAAATTCACTGCCCTTAATAAAGTATTTAAATATACATTTCAGGTGTGCTGTTTTGTTTAGATCATTAACATCTGGAGGTCTTTTAATGTCCTTTTTGATTATTGTTACACCAGGTCTTGTCAAAACCTTTATTCCATATTCAATATCCATTACTAAACAAAACAGCAATTCTACTCCACTACAATTCTGAGGTTAACCTGGTATTTTTACTCCACTACATTTATTTTAGTTACTTTGCAGATTCTGATTAATGATGTGAAATATAAACAACCCTTAAATCAGGCTTTAGTTACACCTGAGTAAAATTCAGGGAAGGTGATTGTCAAGTGCCAACAATCAGGAGAGATATTTGATAGTTGCTGCTTGAGAAGACTAAACATTTATCTGCAGATCCCTATAAAGTATATTCATTACTCGTTATTCTCTACTAATAGTTCATTAAAGACTGTATATAATGGCTATTTTGCACATCCCTTTCAAGATTTCAAGATTTTCTAAGGTTCATTGACATATCATATACACAACTAATTCAATAACGTGCTTTAACCACTAGGCGGTGCACACAAGGTACACACAGCCATAATAACTTTGTATTATTAGTGTAGGACACTTGTGTATGTATAACATCTGAAGATGTGTAGTTTTATTCATGTTTTCACATAATTGTACAGGATATTGCTATATTATTTCACATGTTTTACTTCTAATATCTGATTTGTAAAACATCACAGACAGAAAGGTATATCCGTCATTCAACAGTAAGCTATTGAAATTCTGAATCCATAGATGTGTCTCCCATCACCCAAATCCCCTGACTATTCTCTCAACTCAGTATTTACATTCTTATATTCAAAGAAAATCAGTAATATCTTTAAAAACTACAAGTCCTTTTCTATCAGCTGTGCACCGTTATGGTGTAAATATAACCTATCTACCAATTGGATCAAATATAAAAGTCAGCCGAATTAGTGTTGATACTGCAAGGAGACGTATTGTGTGAAAAGAAATGTAAGATGTTGTTTAATTGCTGATATATTTATGATCCACGTCACGTTTTCAGTTTTGGTGGCAGTGCTTCCTGTTTGTCAGACTTGTTATATCTATGATCCACACACATGGATTAACATCGATTTAATACATTAATGTAGCCTTTGTTTCTGCTAAAAGAGGTGTCGACCAGCTAGGGCAACAAGAAAATTGGCGAAATCGAGTGTGACGATTAAAAAATAAATTAAAAACATGTAATTTTGACAATAAAAACCGACCAATAGGCGCGGTAGAGCATTTGCTTGGCACTTCCGGGTATTTCTCCACTGGTTGGGCCATGTTAACAATACCGTGTAACTGTCAAGTTTGAAGGGACGAAACCGTGACATATTCACGTCTCCCAGCATGGTAGATCGTCACATGTTCACGTCTTGCCGTGATACCGGGTTGAGTATTTCATAACTGTTTTTCATTTATTCTCTTATTGTTTTATAACTATAATGATCATATGAAGGTGTGCCTCGGAAATACTTGTTTACATAAATGGTGACCAAACTGTTTGAGACCCACTGAGATAACTTAGACTAAAGTTAACTATCTAAACACTCAGAGAGTCCTTTAGCTCACCTGAGTCCCTCAGTCTGACAGGAGAGGACTTTCCCTTCACCTTGTTGTAGAAACAGCTCCTTCTATCCGTTAGTGCAGCTAGCTAAACAGATGCTAACAACACGGTCCCTGGCACGGTGTGCTCTCTCTCTCTCTCGCTCGCTTAATCACACTTAATGCGCGCCTGCCACACACACACACACACACACACATAGGGATGGGTATCGTTAAGGTTTTAACGGTACTACTACTTTTATCGATACCGCTTATCGGTCCGGTCTTTTAACGGTACTCTTATCGGTTCTTTTGGAGAGAAAAATGAGGTAAACTAACTATATGTTGTATGTCAGGGACGACGGATGGAAATTAGCTCAAAGCTAAAATCCGGCATATTTACACTTGAAGCATTATTTGTCTAAAGTATTCATTAATGTGCATTGTCCCTATTCAAATAAACAATTAAATGAAAATTAACAAATTGTGAACAAAACTAACATTGCTTTTTATTTAAATGAAATACATAATATTTCACATCAACAGAAACAACAACGTTTTAGCAAATCATATTAAATAATCTGATGACAGAACTGTGAACAGAATGGCTGAAACTTTAACAAACTAAATAACTCAGTTCCCTCTAATCATTAACCCATGTTTGAATCATTGAGTTAGCTCCGTGTGTTGCTGCTAGCATACATAATATACCTGACGTGGAAACGTTACTCGTGGATGGGGCAACAGAGCTACTAGAGAGACAGTCGAACCCGGTGCATTTCTCCGTCTGAACGTGGTGCACTTTTGCAAGATGTTTTGACAAATTGCTCGTGTTACCGCCCTGACATGCTAAACTCTTATTGCACTTTAGGCAACGAGCGAGACGGGTAAAGTTTAACCACACCTCGGAGCGCGTTCTCTCCGCCATCTCCTCCGTGTGTGTGTGTGTTGCTGCATGTAGCAGCTGCGTGTGTGTAAACTGCCCCGCCCCCTCGCACACAGGCGGGGGAGAGAGATCTCTCGTCTGGATTGGAGAGATCGAAAATACAAAAAATGACGCATTTTGCAGTCTTTTTGCATATTAGAAACGGAGCTGGCGACACTAAAACTGAAATATAATGTTTGTGTAGCAATAATACACATGACATATTTTTTAGATGTCTCCAGTACCGATAAAAAGACCGATAACGTCGGAGCTTAACGGTACCACGGTCTTTAATAATTCAGCCCCGAGGCCCGTTTAATACCGGGGCTCGGTACCCATCCCTACACACACACACACACACACACACACACACACACACACACACACACACACACACACAACACACACACACACACACACACACACACACACACACACACACACACACACAGAGCCGAGCTTGAATGAAACACAGAGACCCAGAAGTACTTGTTCTGAACTGTGGCATATTATTTTCGAATCAATCATTTTTCAAATTATGAATTTCACACGTAAAAAAAAATGAAAGACACATACATTTCTTGGGGGTCCTTGGGGGGTGCTATGGCTATCCTAGGGGAGCTTCAGCACCCCCTAGCACCCCCCTGGCACCGCCTATGTGCACTGGAAACATTGAAACGTTGACTTTAATTAAATGTATTATGACAACACATTTCACACGACTGTATAAGATTGAAAGCAATAATATTAAGTTGAACCTAATATTTTGTATTTAAACTTAATATTATTGCTTTCAACTAACCTAATACAGTTATGTGAAATATGTTGACATTATAAATTAATTAAATTCAACGTTTAAGTCTTTTCAGTGTTTTTAATCATCTACAAAGCAAATCAATAAAACATATAAAGTAGCCTTAACTATTATATCAGAACAAATTAAGACTAAAAACCACAAAAATACACTTTGTATTGCTTGTAAAGATAACTGTTTGAAACTTCGGTCATGCCATTAAAGGTCAGATCGAAGGAATGACGTAATGCTGAATGTTGATTGGTCAGGTGGGTTAGGGATAAGACTAACACTAGTTTCTCTCCCTTTGCATAAACAGACCACCTTAGCTCGTCCAACGATGCTATGAACACGTGTTAAACAGGACAAGTCATCTCCGTATGTTTCTCATAGCTTTAACACTTAAACCCACCCATATCTGTATTTATATCTATCTTGGGTGTGTGTGTGTGTGTGTGTGTGTGTGTGTGTGTGTGTGTGTGTGTGTGTGTGTGTGTGTGTGTGTGTGTGTGTGTGTGTGTGTGTGTGTGTGTGTGTGTGTGTGTGTGTGCGTAACCCAATCTAATTGCTAAACTGTGTGTGGTTAGAAATCCAGCCCTAACAAACTGTCAAACACAAACTATTTTGGAGTGAAATGTGGTGTAAAATGCTTGGTGTGTGTGTGTGCAGTCTTAAAGAGGTCTTGTGCAGCTCAGTTACGTAGCTCTCATGAATTCTGTCGGAAGTAAAACTCATGTGCTGCCTGTAAAGCCTTCCTCCATCTGTTTATGAATGTGAAATGGGTCCTATGGAGGTACACAGAGAAGCAGCAATAATGCAGTGATTACATTTCTGTGTAGATGTAAGTGAAATGTGTTTGATAAAGCTATTAATTTAATCGTTATATTCCCAATAAAAGCCTTACAAATCGTAGATTTTCTCTACTGTTCAATTAACCACAACAATTTAAATTAAATAAAGAAATGTTCCTATTTTGCAATAAAAAAATATGACATATTTAGCTTACACTCTATTTTTAGATGTATGATTAATAACTCTTAGGGTCTAGTAAATACACCCCTAACGGCTTACTGGCATTGTGTGTAATTATTCGTTTTATTTTAAGTTTAATATTTTTGATGTAGAGAACTTCGGGTTCTTGTCTTGATCAGTTCATTTAAATACAGATGATTCCAGCAGATAGCCCTGACATGGTGCTTGCTAAATCACAAAACAATATTGAAAACAAAATCACAAAACAATATTGAAAGCACAATAGTCATGAATGGATTTTTAAAGATTCTAACGGCAAACACATCTCCTACAGTTTGTTGGGTTTTGTTCTCCTTGTAACGAACACTAGATTCCCCCTTCAATCAGGGCTGGGTTACAGTGAGGAATAAAAGAGTGCACCGCGGTACACAGCGCTGACGCCCATGCTTCAGGCTCTGTGTCTCACACCCAGGACTGAGCTGACCGAGTCTCTTCATAATGAGCGTCCTCTCTGAAAATAGGTGCAGCTCCTGTTAAAACTGACTTTGATTTGACCCTTGAGAGACTGTTTGGCTTTTAAAAGCTTTGACCTGGACCAAATATGTGATGGTCTGTATGTCATGATTTCTGTTGATAAATTCTGCATTTTGCTGTTTTCCAGATGTTTAAAAGGGATTTAGTTAAAAGCCTTGTGTAGTTGTTTTCCAGATTAGAGCTGTGAGAGAGGCTGACCTGGAACAGCTCTGTCATGTCGGCACATTATCAGTCAGATTGCTCCTATTGTTGGTCCGCGCGCCACTCTAAAAAGGGCTGCCCTTTCCGCAGTATTGTGTTTTAGACTTTGGCCTTAAGTGACAGCTTACCCAGTGTCAGTTTACTGGCAGATAACAGCCCTGCCTGGCCCTTATTGGTTTTGCCGGCGGCCCTGTGGAGCCTCTTTTTAAACCCTGCTGATCATTTCGAACTGCTCCGTGAGCTAAGCCCTCGCCAAACAGAGCCCAACTTGCCCCAGTCACAAAAGCCTGATCCGCAGGATTAGCTGGCCAACTAATTTCACTCCTTTCTGTGAGGTCCTCAAATTGTGGGAGAGATCTGGCAGGGTGACGCCTGGCAGACACAACATGGATGTGTGGTCCTTTAAACCGTCGCGCTGGGGGCCAAATGCAATCACACACTGCTGCTGCACATCTTTGAACGTAATGCAGTGTTTGGAATTATTATCTATTGGCAAGGTCACACCCATGCTTGACAGGAGGGATTTCAGATGATGTGGGATCTGACAATAAAAGGCAGTCAGTTTCAGCAGACAGAGCTGCAGGCGTCAGAATAACTGCAGAAACCGGCTGTGTGAAGGTTTCACTGCAGTGTCTTTGAAAGGAACTAGGGAATCTGGTACTAATTATAGGGAAAACGGAAACAATGTTGGTACATTTTCATTTAATTAAATCAGTCTTACTGAAAGCTCAGCAGGTCAGCTGAAAATCAAGGGTCAGAGTATATATAGTTCTTCAGTTATAAAAGGGAACAATCATTATTATAAATCATAAGTTGGCTTGAACTGATTCTTTTTCCATCATTATGCTTTTAGCAACAAGTCCACCAAACATATTTAAATAGAAATACCGGAAGAAAGTTCAGGTATACACTTGTACTTCAATGTGGTGCTACAGCATTAATAACTTACATACATAGATCAAAAATCCCCAAAATCAAATGAATACACAATGATAAATTAGATAGTGAGTCTATATGTACTAGACTGTTCGGTTGTTTCTGTCTACTCCCCTCCATGTTCCCAGTGTCCTCATGTCACCCTTTCTCTCTGATGCAGACACAGAGAAATCCCAGCAGAACCAGCTGGATGAGTCCAGCGCTGAGGACGGCTCCCTGAAGAAGAAGCAGAGGAGGCAGAGGACTCACTTCACCAGCCAGCAGCTGCAGGAGCTGGAGGCCACCTTCCAGAGGAACCGCTACCCCGACATGAGCACCAGGGAGGAGATCGCAGTGTGGACCAACCTCACAGAGGCCCGGGTCAGGGTGAGTACCAACCCCGCTCAGAGAGCCAGAGCTCCGGACACACTTCTCCCAGTGTCCAGCTTCACCCTGTCCCACCAGGACATCTTTTATATTAATATGCCAGTATCATTGCCAAAACCATATCCTAGTTCAGGGGTAGGCAACCCCTCTGAAGTGGCTCCCTGTAGCTTTGACAAAAAATAACATGGCAAGGAATAACAGCTATTTGTTGAACAATGGACTCACCCTTTATCTTGGAGTTTGAGGTGATACTGTGACAGTGAAAAAATAGGAATATTTCGTCAGCTAATGTATGTGCCTCGTCCTTACGGGGGTGGCTAATACTAGATATTAGACCCACGGCTTTGGAAAACTATATCCGTTGTTAAATCCAAAAAAAGTCACAAATGAAATAGACAGTCAAATTCTGCGTGCGGATTCCTTTGCCTTTACTGCCAACAATGCTGGCTTTACTGCATGCTTGATATATTGTGAGAAATTAGCAACCACAGAACATTTAATCTTGAAAGACATTTCAAGAACAAGCGCACAGCATTTGCTGCTTCCTCTGTTGTAACAAGTAAAAATAGCAATAGTAATTTTTTTGTATTGAGGCAACAAACACATTTTTGTAAATATATTTATTTAAAACGTTATAATATGTGTTATCAAATAAGTTATACGACTCCAGACAAACCTTATTTGGTGGCAGAGGGGGAAAAATTGCCCTTTTAATTGCAGGAATAAAACAATTAATTTAAACATATCATGTACTAGGTCTGATGTTTTATTCCCTCCTGCCAAAGCTGGGGTCCACACACCTCAGAGTCAGAGGGGCAGCACAGGGGGCTTTGGTCCCTGTAGCTATATATATATATATATATATATATATGGAGCAGGAGGACACATTCTGATGGATGACAATACAATCCCTGGCCTGCCTTATAGCAATGGATCAAATGAATGCTGGCTGGATGAAAGGTCACATAGCACACACTCTTGTTATTTTTGAAAAGGACGACAGGCTACACATGGTCCCTGATGGAGTCTATCATCTGTCCCCTACATGTGCCCTTTCAGAGCTGCTGTTAGCATCACAGCGGCAGCCTCATGGAACATATTGATAATAGAGGGATGTTGGATCAGTTGCTATTCAAGCTAATGTGTCTTTGGCACATTTAAACTGTACAGATTTAATGTATTTATGTTGACTTAACTGGTGTTAAAGTGAGAGCAGCCTTTAGCAGCATTTAGCACAAATGTGCTTCAAAATATACTTGCCTCCCATGGCCAAACATGCATACGTGTGCGTTATCTTATCCATATAACGTAATGGGACCACCAGAGAATGCCACACACATCTGATATACTCCTGACACAACCCTGCTAGTGGCTGGACTTCAGCTAACTGCTAACATCAGCATGCTAACATGCTCACTATTAAAATGTTAAAATGTTTAGCAGGTATCTCCTTAGTGTGTGACCTCAAATGGATCAGAATACCTAAACAGTAATATAGGGTTAAGTCATCATCTATTGCATGGGAAATATTATTATAGGAGTACATGATCATGATTAAAGCTGCACTTATCGACCATATTTCTTTCAGGGTGCATGCCACACAGGCGCTAAAGCCCTGAACAGTGAGTCCAAGGTTAGCCACATTTAAGGTCTCTCTCCACTATCTCTATTAAATGGATGAATTAAATAAATAAAAAATAGACTCTTGCAAGAAAAATAGGGCTGATGAATGTTATGAAGCACCAGGTTTATGGGACTGTTTGCTAACAATGGGCCAACTTTTTGCTAGCATGTGAATGAGGTGATTAAATATCTATGTCTATTACATATTCATTAAATATGAAGGTCAGCAAAACGTTGTATGTGTTACTTCCACGCTCTTAACTTTTGTTGATTTACAATAAAGAAATGAAACTTCACTGGCCATGACATAAAAAGCAAATAGTTACATGTTTTAAATTTGATGCTGTGTGTAATTCCTACACTATGCTGACATCACCAAGAATGTTCATACAGTTATATAGAGTTCATACTGATGCTTCATTTAAATGAAATCAAATACATATCAGTGCCTTTTAGAGAGATATTATGATATCCTTCTCATGCAGTCATTCACAGAAGGCGTATAAACGTGTCTGCAGTGGATCTGTTGGATAACCTTGACATTCAGCCTCTTCACACACCTTCCAGCCTTGGCTCCGGGGCACTGGACTACTGATTGGGTGACTTCCTCTGGCGGGGGTTTCCCCTGCTGTCACTGAGCGGGATGGAAAACTCAGAGTCATGCACTTTAAACTCATATTAATGATCAACAGCATACTGTTACTATACCAACAGAGCATTGGATGATACACAGCATGTACAGTGGGTCAGAGAGCAGAGAGACGGAGAGTATAAACACGATAAGACAGGTAGAAGATGTACAAGGATAAAAGGGATCAAACATTTAACAACAAAAAGAAATTACGTTCAGCAAATACATAGTTAACCAAGAAACTTCTGTCACACGGATACACAAATCGAAACACAGTCTGGTTGCTGTGTAATTCAGCAAAAGTTGCACAACTTCACACAAAGAGAAACTTTGTGGGTTTCATTTCTTAAAACCCTCAATTTAGATTTTTCCACTAAGCTTTAATCCAATTCATATCCTCCAAATATAGGACTATAAAATGACAAATGTGAAGATTGCCCTCCCCTGACATTTCTTTCATTGGGATCTCACTATTCAAATAAGTCAATGATTAGTTTTAATAAGCCTTGCCTAATATGACTGTTTGACGATACACTTCAACTTACTTTCGGGGATCATTGTGTCTTTCAAAAATTCTGGAGACAATATTACTGAAATAATTTTTTGAAGGGGGGGGTGTTGGATACTCTGACTATATGTGCTTTAGAATTAGACTTTATTGACTGGCGGGCACATTTTGATAGAAAAAAGGAATAAAGTCCTTTAAAAGTAATTTCCTTAGTCACTCAAGTTCTTCCTGCACAAATAATATTTATCAGTATTGTCGGTAAAGCCCTGAAAATAGTGGGGAAAAGGTTATAAGCATACAGACAGGCTGTGAGCAGGCCACTGATTTTACTTTTCACAATGCCACTCGTCTCACTCAATTTCTCACCTGGACAGGTGAACTGTATTTTCATCACTTGTTCTGATATTCTTAGTTTTAGTTAAGCAGCCACATCACTAAAACCAGGAAAAGGTTTCTTAAGAAAAACGTTGAGAAACTAACTTGTTAAGGGCTTTAAGGGAAGCACCAGGGTTCAAAGAGGGTTCACCAGATAGACGGTACACTAAAAACTTTTTTTCTTCTTTTGCTTTCTTAGGTATGGTTCAAGAACCGCCGTGCCAAGTGGAGAAAGCGAGAGAGGAACCAGCAGGCGGAGCTATGCAAAAACGGCTTTGGTGCCCAGTTCAATGGACTCATGCAGCCCTACGATGACATGTACACAGGCTACTCCTACAACAACTGGGCCACCAAGAGCCTAGCAAGCAGCCCCCTCTCCGCCAAGAGCTTCCCATTCTTCAACTCAATGAATGTAAGCCCCCTATCATCCCAGCCCATGTTCTCCCCCCAAAGCTCCATCCCCTCCATGAACATGGCCTCCAGCATGGTGCCCTCAGCAGTGGCCGGGGTTCCCACTACGGGGCTTAACAACCTGGGTAACCTGAACAACCTCAATAGCCCTACAGCGCTCAACTCGGTGGCGGTGTCTGCGGCCACGTGCCCCTACGCCTCCACCGCCAGCCCCTACATGTACAGAGACACCTGCAACTCCAGCCTGGCCAGCCTGCGGCTCAAAGCCAAGCAGCACACCAACTTCGCCTACCCGGCAGTGCAGAACCCCGTGTCCAACCTGAGCCCCTGCCAGTACGCTGTGGACCGGCCGGTATGAAGGAGAAGCTCCGGCGACCATCCCTAACCAACTGACCAGCTGTTAGTCCACTGTTACTCCACTCCTCATCTCACACTGCCAGATGTGCTGCAGCCTGGCAGATTGTGTTTCGATGGTACACAAAGAGAATAATCTTCAAAACTGACACAACAAATAGAATTGCCCAGATGGACCACCGTGCTTCAAAGGAATTCTTTCCAGTTTGTGGGACTTTGTCGCTGACCAACTGCCTAAAGGATTTCTAAAGATTATATGAATTATCTTTTTTTTTTTGCCTTCTTTTGAACTGCATGATTAGAATAAACGTAGAAAACAAGAGTAAATAAAACATGGATGCTTCAACTGGACTGGTGTTCAACATGTTGACCCACAAACATCAGATGCGATCTGCGCGACTGTCGCAGGAAAAGGGACCTGTGGTTGCTATGCAGGAGAAATGGAGGATGTATATAACGGACCTTTTTGTTTTGTATGTGACAAAAAATATATGAAAACGTACTTTAAAGATGAGAAAAGCATGTTCTTCAAAAGCAAAGGCCCGAGGTTTATGTACTATGAGCACATCCTTTAGGAACTTTAAACTTTGTTGTGATTCTTCTCTACGTGGAAGGTCACAGGTCAAAGGTCAGCCTGGATGGGCAACAGGAGGGCCGTCCTGGAAAGTGAACACAACAACAACAAGTTACTCACACATACCGGAACATCAGCAAGATTTTTCAAGTAAAAACTCTAAGCCATTGAGTATATAGATTTGTGTGGTGTTTTACGAAGCAAGTCCATGACTGTAAAAAGTGTATGTAAGAGTGCAGTTGTCATTGCAAAAAAACAAGCTTTTTTTCCTGGTGTAGCCTGCTCTGTCTCATTAAAGAACCAATTAAAGCATCACGTTTTATGAACTACACATGGACTTTGACCGTCATAAGAACAGAACACGTCCTCCATATCTCTGATCTATAACCTGTGGTGGAAAGTAACTCAATTCATGTATGTATCATACAACTTTCAGGTACTTGTACTCTAGCATTTACATTTTCTGCCACGCTATACATCTCCTCCACTACAATTTGGAGAGTTTTTGCCCCACTAGATGCATTTAATAACTTTAGTTACTAGTTACTTAACAGTATTAGAATGATATATTGAGTATTTTCAACAAATACATAATGATGTATATATTATTATAGATTGAGATGATGTGTCACCATTGAATGATTTGACAAGCTACCTATAGCAGTAGATACATACGTTTAAATGAGCTTCACTTTTACCAGCCCATATTAAAGTAATGTGCACATTAATGCATCAATAATGAATTATAGTTATAATATTGATTATAAGAACTATATCATTTATGAATCTGAAATGGGCAATTCTCCATATAAGGCACTTTTACTTTTGGTCCTTAAAGTATATTTTAGATATTAATACTTTGTACTTTTACTCAAGTAAGCTTTTGATGCAGGATTGAACCTGTAGTATTTCTACAGTATATGACGTATTGCTACTTTTTTAAACTTTAAAAAAATCTGTCTATAGTCTATAAAAACCAAAACACAACGTTCTCAAAGCTATGAGCACAACACCATGGTAACGCAGACTCACTTCCATGGCAACCAGTAAGCAACACTGGAGCGGGCAGTGGGCTGCTGGGAGATATAGATGTTCCGGAGCCGTCTCACTGATACGTTTGACCTACACTCTGAGGGGGGGCCGCAGGCTATCCAGTAACACAGCAGAAATTCACGGCTGAAGCAGGGCCAGGATTACACAAGGGCCCGGAGGAGAGGGGGGTCCCAGCGGAGCCACAACCAGGAGTTAGCAGCCCATCAATTTCCATCAGCCCCCCCAACTGTTTATTGCTCTGACATTTCCACTGTGTGTTCCTTTTACACTCAATTATAAAACGTCACATTTTCAACTGAAATGCTGCCATTAATACAAACACACACATTCTACTAATACTGCTTCGACTAATATAAGTGCTAGTCCACAAATATATTTTAAACAATTGTTTATAATAAAGTAACATTACAACTTGAACACATGATGTTTTAAAGCAGAGAAATGTAACTAAACAAACCAGATTTTCTAAAGTAAGTTTAAATAATATGCAATATCAGATGCTAATAATAATGAAGGTAATAATAAGTACAGAATCTAATAACTCAGCTAAAATGTTAATTTTAGGCATACAATTTGTATTGCAATTGTTATTGTAAAACGTTCCTTTTTTTTAACCTATTTGAATCTTCCGTTAAATGATTTGAACCTGAAGAAATGGAACATGGAATATAACATTCTAATCTTGGCTGACGGTCCACACAGCTCATTGCTACAAATCACTGTCTTTCCTCTAAAGAAAGTTACAGCATCTTTAGTTCTGATTGTTTAGTCAAACATTCAGGATGTAATGAAAAGGAACTTTACAAAACATTATAACATTAAATAAAATTATAAAGCTTTTCTATGAACCGTAGTGGAAATTAAAAGACAAAACACTATAATAACTGTCTCTATTTTCCCTAAAATGACTTCATAGTTTCACACAGGAGACCTACAGACTGATACTGAATGAAGGTTAACACAACATGAAAGCCCTCTTCATCTTGATTGTAGTTAAGAAAATCAAAACACTAACTAATACTGGCTCCAAAAAATAACTTTGTAAGTTTTAACTTCATAATGAAAACTTCCCTTAAAGTGGACCTATCATGCTATATTTGAATAATATAGTGTAGGACCATACCTATATAAGGCATATTTCTACTTTTTTTTTTTCAAAATACCAAACAGATCATGCATTTTAGCCATGCCTCATTTCGCTCAATTTGAAAGATGTTAGCTCTGTTTTTGCAAGGGCTGATTCTGTGAGAACAGCACCATCTACAGGCCTGGCATATGTACTACAGCGTCTCCAGCGCTTTCGAACGGCAATGGCCGTGGCTGTCTCCTCCTGATTGGTGGAGTTGGCCCAATAGCCGTAGCGCCACCGTCCTGACGTCAGGACAGTGTTCAAATGTGGATCAGTTTTTATCAGATCCGTATGGAGGAAAATAGAGAGGGTTGTGTTTTCTGACACTTGGTGAGTTCCCTGGAACACCGGGGACACATATTCATGTATACAAGACGTACAAAAGTGCATTTTGCATGATAGGTCCCCTTTAAGGTTTTCCTTCATTTGAAACAGCCATAGAGACTGAGTCAGTGATAATCAGAAGCAGGGACATCCTGGCATACAAGGAGTGCCTAATATAGAATATTGAAAAGTGACATGTAAAGAAACATCACTCAGAGCCAGAGCCGGGCTCATGGTGAGGAAAGCTGTGCTCTGAACACATGAGCAGCTCTCAGCCTGCAGCGTGCTCACCCCGGGAGGGACTGAGCCGGGGTGAGCACGCTGACGGCTGGCAGAACACACAGACGGTACTCAGAGCTGAAAGATTATATGATTAGCGGTGGGACACTTAGAAAAAAGTTACCAAAAATACTCTTTTTTTAATTTGTCCGAATGTTGGTTTTGATGTAACAAGTATATATCAAGGTTCAAAGGCTTTTAATGCACGGCTAAAGTGGCAATGCAAACGTCTCAGTCGCTTCCAGCAATGCAACATTATTTTATATATATCAGACATAAAACAGTAAAACTAATTTAAAAAACAACGTTAGCTTAGCCGATCTCCATTTAGAAAACACGCATTTTAAAAGGTTTTTCGCCTGCCGTCTGTCTGCAGACTTGTCAAAGCATTAATTCATGGTTTTTACTAACCGGTATCAGTATGTTGTTACTTCGGCATCATTTTGAAACGTGTATTACAATTAAATCACGGTCAAATATGTTCATCTTGTTGTAGTTGTAGCCCCCTTGCCAGCGATTCTCTCTCTAGTTTAGCATACTCAGCCCGACTCAGCCTGGTTGTTCCTGGCCCTAGAACCACGATTTTATGGGGCCAGAAAAACTGTGAATTAGGACCCGCTAGCCGGTACTAGGCCAAGTGGAAACGCAACCAAAGACGGGCCGCTGACGTCACAGCTCTCTTAAACGGGGCTCCGCGCTGTAGTGCCTGTCAGCCTTCCATCTGTGCACAAACTTATCTCGTGCCCTCATTGGTCATGTGCGCGTTCGTGTGTGTTGGAGGAGGGGCTCTATAAGGAAGTGGCAGATTTTCTCCGGTTGTGTATTTTCAAATTCTAGCGATATCGATCCGGTTTCTCAAACTTACCTACCCTACCTTTAACTACAAGTAAATAGTATTTATAAGATGAAAACGTAAAATGAAATATTGTACAGTGAAACAAAATACTGCTTATTGTAATAATGATCACCCATACAGGGTCTAGCAAGGGTTAGACAGGGTCTAACAATATTGATATGTGCCGTTAAAAGAGGATTCAGATCAAAGAATATCATCTAAATGAAATGGAGGCATTCCGGAACATCAGCGTGGAATAGTTTTTGGATGTCACATAGATAATCTGAATAATGAGAAACGCTCAGTTAACCACATGTATTTGCCCTTTGATTTGAACATCTCCACTCCTCAGGTGGAGATGTTCCACTTCTTAATTAGACACAGAGTTTGAATGTATCACATTCAGCATCAGACAGGGCCTTTCCAAAGTGTACAACTGGCAGAGGAGCTTTTTAAATCGAGCTGCTGACCCGAGAGCAGCCTCCTCCTGGTGGACTGCAGAGCTGTGGAGCGAGGTGGAGCGTCACAGTGTGTGCTTCATCGATCAATATTCCACCGGAGGGGAGATGTGTGCGGTCCCTGATGTTTACTCACAGTACAGATACAGCAGGAGCAGAGATCACAGGCCGGAAACAAATACAGAGGCATCTGAAGTTCTAACAATCTCCTCGGAGAATAGAGAGGAGACAAAACAACAGATGGAGAAACATGGACAGCAGCTCTGCTGAAATAGATAGACCTCATATTTCAGGAATTAGTGTTTATTTATTTTTTCCTATCTTTAAATGTTTTTCTCTTGAGAAGAAATAAATGCAAACACCCACCATGATATCTGCTTCAGAGTACTGAGGTACATATGACCTTTGGTTTATAACAATTGTGTGACATCACATTATTGTTTTTATTATTATTTAAAGGGGACCTATCATGCAAAATGCACTTTTGTACGTCTTTTATACATGAATATGTGTCCCCGGTGTTCCAGGGAACTCATCAAGTGTCAGAAAACACAACCCTCTCTATTTTCCTCCATACCCAAATCTCTAAAAAAGGGGCTGCAACGGATCTGATAAAAACTGATCCAGATTTGAACACTGTCCTGACGTCAGGACAGTGGCGCTACGGCTATTGGGCCAACTCCACCAATCAGGAGGAGACAGCCACAACCATTGCCGTTCGAAAGCGCTGGAGACGCTGTAGTACATATGCCAGGCCTGTAGATGGTGCTGTTCTCACAGAATCAGCCCTTGCAAAAACAGAGCTAGAAATTGTCAAATTGAGCAAAATGAGGCATGGCTCAAATGCATGATCTGTTTGGTATTTTGAAAAAAAAAAAAAAATATGCCTTATATAGGTATGGTCCTACACTATATTATTCAAATATAGCATGATAGGTCCACTTTAAATAATGAAATGTAAGTAACTAAATCACACATTTAAAGGTGCTATGTTAACTAATTCAATTGTCTAATTATGTCCAGCATAAACTGTAAGAATCTGGCTTTATAGGTCTAAAAATGCATTATCTAGAAATGATGTAAACCTGTAGCTTTTACAGAAGATCAAACTAAACTGTAAGAGCTTAAATACAAAAAATACTTAATTTGTGAGTTTTCTAACTCATAATCCGGTACATCATCCCTGGAGTTTTTTGTCTCATGGTGCAGGTTACGTCTGGGAGCAG